AGCCCAGCTGCCATTTTGCACCAAGACCTCCTGGCAGCCATGAGATGCAGCACAGGAGCTTGCTCATGCAAGTGGAACCAGTGGCTTCTCTTTGAAATATTAATTAATGATTAGCTAGCGCAAGAGGCACACTGATCTTTCCAGTACCTTGCAAAGCAGTGGGGGGTGGTTACTTGAAAGCATGATGCCATTCATCATGAAGGAAGCACTCACTCTAACAGAGCTTTCTTGTTGGGATATTCTGACCAGTCTCAAGCAGCACAACTCTTACTGTTCGGATCTGTGATTTAAGTCTCTCTTCATATCTAAGAGGAATAGGAATTCTTGCTATCCTATTTCAGTAAGAATCCTTGAAATACCAAGGGGTTGAGAAGTGTCTAGGCAAGGCTGCGCTGGACTAAGAAGGACAATAAAGAACTTTTTGGGTCAAGATAGATCTCACTCAACAGGCCCTGTTTGACAGTCCATTCCTGGACGGTTACCCCACTGGATTTATTGCAAGCACAGTGATCTGTAAGATTCAGATCAAGAGTTATTGTTTGCTGCTGTTTCAGCTTCTTTTTTGTTTTTTTTTCCATTCTGCCCTAAAAATGCCAAAGCTTGTTATCCTCTTGGAGATTCAACGTGAGCATTTGTGCTGCAGAATCCCCCCTGCCCCTTTCTATCAGCCTAACTAGAAGATAACTGAGTTCCTCACTCTTCTCTTTGATGGGTCCTTTCTCTCCTCCTGCTTTGCTTGACATCCTCAGCTTTCCTTCTGTATTGCACTCAGCAGAGCAGGAGGCTGGTTTTCCCAAGGGCATAATGCAAGAAGCACTTCATGGGACTCGCTCACATTGTCCAAAGACCAAGCACAACCTTTGTGGCTCTCACAACCCAAGAAACAAGATCCAAAGTGTCTTGGATCCAACCAAAACATTCAGTGATGCTGGGGGCCAGCTATACCTCTGAGCATGGCTTTGTTAGTCTTCATTCTTCTTGCTTAGCTTCAGAGTAGACTTCTTGTGCATTGCTCTGCACTCACCACAGTCAGCAGAAAGAGGACAGGCACCTCCAGAGCCAGTTTTTCTCCTCACAAGGTGTATGTCTACACCTGGGAGAAGAACTGCCTTCTAGATGTGCTGGCATCCCCTGTAAGTCCTATGGAAGGATTCTGAAGGTCCAGCTTAAGCGCATCATCTAGGTTTCAGATAGCTAAAACAAGGTGAAGCAGAATCCCATGCCCAGCTTAGTATTTAGGAACTATGTGGGAAGAATGAATGATACAAGAGCCTTTATGCTTTTCTCATTGCTTTTTTAAGGAATCTTCACGCTTATTTATTTCTTCCTTCTAGTCGCTTTAAATGCCACTGAAGCTGCTGTCATCGTAAATCAGAGTCATCAGAACTGCCTTTCAAAACAGAACTTCTAACTAAGAAGAAAAGATGTCAGCGTGAAGCAAACACCAGTGGACTGTATATTGCAGAGACGGGGGTCTGCTCCAACCTCATCTCACAGCAAGTCAAAGTGAAGAACCTGCAGCATGCATCCTACTGGGATAATTCCACATGGAGAGCAGGTGGACTTGTTCAAACCAAGAATTCATATAATATTTTCTCATATGATACTTATCCCACTTTCTGGCCGTGTTCAAGCCAGTGAATTCCTTGAATCTGTTGCCCTTTGCTTGCAATAGGCTCTTCTTGCTAGATCTCATTCTGAAAGAGATGGTGAAATTGGCTTCTACTCACACTTCTCAGGTCCTCCAGGATTTTGAAGTCCGTGCTGCACTGCTGGTTTTCTGTATCCTTATCTTCTCTCTCACTCCCAGTGACTCCTTCATCCTTTGGCCAATTTCTGCTTGACCTGGATGTCCTATTAATGTTTTCTCCCAGTAAAAGCTGCAGATGAGAGGCAATCTGAAGGGTCCCTGCTGGTTGCTCTGCGTGGCCACTACACAATACGGCCAATTCTGTGTATGAGCTTGTTTGCTGCATTGCCCCTCTGCCATGCTGCTCTTTTTCTACTAAGGCAGTGTTTTCTGATGCAGGGGTGATCACAGTAAAAAGAATCTGACATGTAAGAGTCATTGATTATGTGCTCTTCAATTAAAAAATAAAAAAAATAAAAATAAAAATCCACACCAGAATGTAATAATACATAATAATATAAAATTACCTAATTCTCCCTTAAAATGAGTTTTTTGTTTAAAAACATACAACATCATATATATATGCATACATACATCCTCAGAGGGCTTTACAGTCACTAATGGGTGCTCATATCACAAACAACCTGCAAGATAAGTTTGTTGGCTGTTGGTAGGAATCTCCAGGCTTGGTCTTTTCTGTTTCATTATAAAATCAGAGTAAGGTTGGTTTCTTTCCCAAGATCAAGAGGAGATGCTTCCCTCATGGGTACAAAACAAAGTCCTGTTCATTTCCTGCCACAGGATCTCACTCACTGCTGGTACTTCAGGAACAGGTCTATAAACAGAGCAAGTAACTCTGCTTGGCAAGGGTAAATTCCCTCCATCAGTGCATTACTGCTGGGTGAGGGTGGCCTGCCAAATCCACTGACGTGACATAAGGAAAGATTTAGGAATGGTTTGGGAGCATAATAAATGAATCCCCCCCTTGAGTCAACTGCGTGTTCCTTGGATCTCTCAAGCAATCAAAATAAACCCCATGGATTACTTGAGACAAATGTCTGTCTGCACAGCAAATCACCACAGATTGCTCATGACAGCCAAATGAGACGTCCTTTCAGAGCATCACCCAGCGACTCACACGGCTCTGGACCACAAGATAAAGCTGGAGTTGGGAAAGCTAAAAATCACACCAACTATTTGAGGTCTTGTTTCATAGAGTGAGGACAAATGGCTTCAAATGTGCATGGCAATGCCTGTGCTTATGGGGCAGCTTGGCCAAACATTTGCTACAAGGCATTAGAGCTTTTCCATTGCCTTTAACATTTCAGGTTACTAAGGGATTATATCTATAGACTGGGGTAATCCCTGAATATTTAGAAAATACATGCACGACTCTCCAAACATCAGACATCTGCCCCATGGTGCTGCACATCTGCCATTCCCATGGATTTTTGAACAATTTCCTTTAATGAGCAGGTTTATTTTGATGGAAATCTACAAATGAGAAAAGCTCCCGTTGCTTCCATGGTTGTGTCGAGTCTGCAGTTTTACAGCTCAACATTTGTATAAAAGACAAAATATGCAGTCAGTCTCATTGGACATCACAAAAACACGCATAAATGCACAAAGATAAATAGGTCCAACACACGAATGCAGACACACAGACACGCTGAACTCTACTTTGCTAAAAATCTGGCTCCGAAACAAATATATACTTTTTAAATTAGCATTTTTTAAAGACACTAACTGCATTTTGAACGCAAAGAACATATTATTTTGTAGGCGTTTTCAGCAGCACAATACCAACCCCCGTTTTTAACTATTGACTAATTACCAGTAGATCTTAATTACATGGTGTGTGGAGGCACTAATAAGTTTACGAATCTGCCAACAACACTAAACACATATGTCTTTTCAAGCATTAGCCTCCCTCTCCTTTTTAAAATCCTTTCTCTTTTCCTCCCTTCAATTTGGCAGCAGAAGATACCGGGAAAGACTGTAATTGCAGCTGATTAGAAAGCGAGCATCTAAACATCCTCACTTAGAGAAGAACGGCTGAAACCACAAGAGGAAAGAAAGAAGTGAATGGAGGAGAAGTCAGAAGTGTGAAAAAGATCATCTTTAGGGTAGTTTGCTCTTGCTTTCCATGCAAGGTCCATGCAGGTGTCGGCATGCTTTACTCATGCTTATCCACTTAGCAAGTTGCAATGGGGCTGGAAACCAGTAGAATGGGAAAAGCACAGAAGGAGGCGCTAGTTCTGTCCCTGTTGATAACAGGACCACAAAACAGCTCTTCTGCACACCCAACAGTACCAGGACCTTCCTCTGGCCTCATTGGCTTCTATGAACCTGTCCACAAAATCAGATACTCTGCAGTCTGAAAACACTCTTGTAAAAAGTCAGGTTGGATATTAGGAAACATTTCTCCCCAGAAAGAGTGGTGATGCAGTGGCACAGCTGCCCAGGGAGGTGGTGGGGTCACCGTCCATGGAGGTGTTCAAAACCATGGGGATGTGGCACTGAGAGACATGGGCAGTGGGCATGGGGGGGTGGATTGGGGTTGGGCTGGGGGATCGCAGAGGCTTTTTCTGCGACCATTCCTCTGAATGGTTCTCTAATGCAGATTCTGATCAAGTTTGCAAAAATACTCAGCTCTCCACAGAAGTTTTTAACTGCAGCAGGACTCTCACACCTCCCCAGATTTCAGATCTGGGTTCCACAAAGATGCCCACTCATGCAGACACTTGTAAAAGCCTAAAGGGACTGTGAACCACACTATGAAAGAAATGTTCATTTAATAACTGGAGCTACATACCTTATGATAGACCTATTACCTTCACACAGTTTTGTCATGCAGAGTTCCGAGTTCTTCACAAACTTCATGACCACACCATCACATATGAACCTCCGCTGACACATCCTTCTCCCTGACAGGTGCTCTTATGCTACCCCAGGTAAGAATGCAGAGTCTTGTACTGGTGTTAAGAGTTCAGGAGCATATAAATAGGAGGGGGAATGGCTGTTTACGGGGGTGGATAGTGATAGGACAAGGGGGAATGGTTTAAAATGAGACAGGGGAGGTTTAGGTTAGATATTAGGAGGAAGTTTTTCAGCCAGAGGGTGGTGAGGCACTGGAACAGGTTGCCCAAGGAGGCTGTGGATGCCCCATCCCTGCAGGCATTCAAGGCCAGGCTGGATGTGGCTCTGGGCAGCCTGGTCTGCTGGTTGGTGACCCTGCACATAGCAGGGGGTTGGAACTGGATGAGCATTGTGGTCCTTTTCAACCCAGGCCATTCTAAGTTCTACATAAAGATCCCATGCACTTGCGCATGGTCCTTCCATTCCGAACCATGAAGTTGATCACTGAACACCATGTTGACTATTTAATAAGAACAGAAATTAATCTTCCACTCACAAATGCAAATGGCACAAAATAATGAAGAATGTACAGGTTCTTGAGAAAAACAGTGGTGACAATTTCGGACTGGGCTTATACCATTGAAGTATTTTCCATGGAACCGCTAGCCAAACTTGAATGTTATGACTACACAAATGAGAGCAGGTGTTCCCTTCCCATATCCATACCTCTAAATGCAGAAGGGCATTTCCATCTGGGATGATTCAATGTTTATTTTCACATGGCGAAGGAGAGGAGATTATTGTCATTTGCATTGATGAAGGAGGTAGTTGTCACCTTCCCATTTTTCCTTATTGAATCTTTGTTAGCAAATAACATGTCTTGAGTAAAATGAGAGTAAGGGATAATTTATATGGTGCCACACTTAGCCTTGGCAATGAAATTACAAAAGTGAATCAACATGAAAGCTGAATAATTTTTTTCTCAGCAATTTAGATAATTATGGACAAGGCAAGCATTAGTTTTGCTGTAGAAAACAGAACAAGTTACTTCAGTATCTTAGGGCAAAACTTCAGTTCCTTAATTAACAGATTCAGAAATATTGTTTCTGCTGGCAGATGGAAGAAATGATAGGAGCATTTGCCAAAGCTGGAGACGTTGGTGATGTGCCCATGTTAGAAAGCACAGTGTGTGCCTGAACTGAGACTTCAGAATAGCACTACTTAATTTTTAGACACTGTGTGGAATAGCCACATGATCATTTTTGTTATAGAAGTGAGACCTTAAGCATCCGTTTCAAACCTGGGCAAATCTCATCTGTCCCCTGAGATATTAAATGACCTGCAGATAGTCAAATTAATTTAAAGCACTAAAAACACAGAAAGGGAAATGGTAATGCCATCTTGTTATTTTTGCTGCTGTTGAGAAGAAGCAGATCTTACACGTCCCTAGAACCAATATAAATAATAGGAAATGTGCACTGAGGGCCTAACCCTGCTCCTAATGGCAAAATTCTCGGATGCAATTTCCCAATGTCTAATGCTATTTAAGGTGCCCAAAGGTGGGTTGGACACGTTGATCCAACTGACAAGTATGATACTGGAGGTATGAAAGATCGAAGCCCATTTGGAGCATCAGCTGGAGGCCTGGTGAGATATCCTAGGGTCTTACAAATGGCACTAGATGTCTACACGTGGTCAACTGCACAGAGCCATTGGTAAGCTCCTTCTTGACTATGGAACTCAGATATGTAACTCACCCATGGACATGTACAATTAGATGTCTTGATTTGGAGCTAAATCCAGCACCCACTGACAGAACACAAGCTCTACCAGATGGAGGCATTTTGTTCAGGACCAAAATGGTAGAAATGGTGGTTGCAGTGGAGCCGAGGGTTTACAGAGAACAAAAAAGGGCATGTAATTGAGATATCCTGCAAGGTTCATCATGAAAGACAAGGGCTGTAAAGATGCAACCAACCTTAACTGCTGTGACATTTCATAAGATCAGTGGGAAATCATTGGGAAGATGATTTCTCAGCAATGCCTTGACTGAAGTAAGGACTGAGAAACCCACGCCACCAAGGAGCAATGAGTGGGCTGATATTTCAGGAGAAAGGAGATGGGAGATTGAAGTTACCAGAGCTGCTACAGCCAGCAACCATTTTCTTATTTTCCAAAGGAAATCCAGGCAGATTGGGATTAATGCAATATTCTGTCTTTTTTTGGCTTGATAGAAGAGGTCATGAATTGAATTAAGTAATCTATAGTGGCAAGCATTAATTATAGAAAATACATTACCCTGTTACACGCATGGGTTTGGATGAGGTTACAGAGCTTTCACGTATTATAACACCAGTTTGCTTATGTGGAAAGGGATTTGTGTCACGAGGAATATACCTCACCATAGTTAAGGTGTGAATTCCAGCTCCACTTGCTCTCATGACCCAAGGCGATGCATTGGCTTTCCCAGTAACCTAGAAGAACAAAAAAACTACCTGCCATGACCAATTCCTGTGGGCAGAGTGACCAACCTTCCCATGTGCTCAGTTCAGAAGGGGAAGAACTGCTTGATAACTTCTCTTTCCACTGAGCTCCGAGTAGCAGTGTGGCACGCTGACAACAGCAGCCAGCTACTGTATGAGATACATCCCTGCCCTTCATAGCCAATTAAATCACTGGGGTCCCATGGGGGGAAGTAGGAAATGCTGTGTAGTTGCTTTTTCCTAAATCTCAGCTTGGAAGAGTACCAAGCAAGTCCATCAGACTGGAGGTCTTAGCTGTTAATGCTCTTCTGAGGGAAGAAACACACTTCCCTGCATCACTCATCACCTCTTTTGCCTGATGAAGTCAGGTTGCTCCTTCCTGCCGGGTAGCCAGTACCTCTAAGAGCACAGCTGAGGGATTAGCCTGTGCTTGGTTTAACAAGACTATGGAAAGAAAAGGCAGGCAGGTCAGAAAGCTTCTTGCAGTCACCTTCTTCTGCACAGACCAGTCCCCAGGAGGCCCTACGATCACACATCCAATGTCACCGGGTTAGCTGATTGCATCTAAAAGGTGTCCCAGTAAAGGCACTTTCCTGAAAGCAGAGAGACAGGTTCCTTTTGATGCGCTGTAATAAATGAACACAGTTGCAGCTCTCAGGAGATTAAAGGAAGCCTGAGAAGAGCTGAATAAACCATGTCACCGCAGGTAAGATCTAGATAATGGGAGCTATGAAGTTTTCTAACTTTCCCAGGACCATACCAATTATTAAATTTGTCAGGAGGTGTAAAGAGGTTTAAATAAAATATTACTGTCCAACAGAAGAAAACATGGGATTCCTGTAATTACATATTTAGTAGAGAAATATTATCTGTCTTTTATCATGTAACAGGTGAGAACCTGAACACATTTTAGGGACATAATTCGAACTTCACAACCTCTCTAGGGTATAGCAGTGTATTTAGGGTATAGCATTCCATCTTGAAAAAAAAATAGCCATAAAGAGGGCTCCATTTTTAAGGAACAACCTCTTGCTTAAGTTGCTGTTCCTCTGTGTTAGCCTTCATCCTGCTAAAACCTCTGCTCATGAAACCAGGGAGGGTCATAGGGATATTTACTTTGCAGAAGGACCACTGGAGCACGAATATATTCTTCCAGGAAGGGGTAAAACTGTGCCAGGAGAGGTTCAGGTTGGAACAATTTCTTCTCCTAAAGAGTAGTGATGCAGTGACACAGCTGCCCAGGGAGGTGGAAGAGTCACCGCCTCTGGAGATGTTTGGCCTGGAGATGTGGCATTGAGAAACGTGGTCAGTGGGCATGGTGGGGGTGGGCTGGGGTTGGACTGGAAGATCTCAGAGGTCTTTTCCAACACATGATTGGAATGATTCAAAACTTCTCTTTTGGATATGGAATTACAGAAGTCAAGCATTCGGTCTAGCTATGAGGACACACCACATTCAGATGATCATTAACACATCATTATAGATAGCCACTAATAACACTTGACTGGATTGGATCTGTTGATTGGATTTTTTAACTGAAAGCTCTAAACCTAAGCCCCCAAATAAAACCAAAGTGCTGGAAGCCATAAGCTTCACCAAACAGGCAGTTCTTTCGATAACTGTGAGCTAGCTTTTTAATATACAACATTTGGCAACTTGTGTACCTTTCCTAGAGAAGCTAATATCACAAAGTCCTGTTACAAGGAGACACCAGTTAAAATAGCACTGTATTAATCCTCCCCAAGCATATACATGTAGCATTCATTAAGTCTAACAGAAAGTACAGGCAGAAGGATTGACCCAGGTGCATCCTCGTGTCAGGCTCACACATTAGCTACGAAGTTTACCAACATACCCAACTTTCTGTACTGCAGAGACCTTAGCATCGTGACAAAAGAAGCCAGAGCCTTCTTTGCCTCATGCATGAATAACAAAGCCACCTGCTATATTCCAACAGTGGATGCTTTATTGTTAGTGATGATGCATGAGGCAGAAATAATGCAGTTTGATTTTTAGAGACAATACCAAGTTGAGCTTGCAAGGCTGTCAGTTAGCCCACACTCGTTTGAGTTGGGAACTGAGCAAACAACTTGGAAGTAATTGATGGAAACTAATGACACAATAAAATGTCATTTTTCTGACCTACTTTGCTTAAAGTAAATCCCTGTTAATTGTAATTATCTGGGCTGGTAGCAGAGTACTCCACATCCACCAGATACTCAGCTGGATCCCCCAGTTATTTAAATGAGGTAGTTCCAGATTTACACAACTCTGATTCTGGCTTACATACCTCTCTATATATAGTGTTTGTTCCCCTGATCTGAATAAATGCCTGGAAGATGGAAGACCACACAACTCAATTAGTGTATTGATTGAGACAAAAAAAGCCTTTAACCAACCAGCAAGAGAAGGGCACCATTCCACGCCGCGCTTTGCTGGGCGCTGCCGGAGCACCAAACGTGCCTCTTCTTTCTGGTGGCTCACTGCTGCTTCTGAAAAGCAGAATTCGACATGAAATGCAAGGATTAGACAAATCAGCTTTGACTGCTGCAAGAGAAAACTCCTTGCTAAACATGTTTTATAAATACTTGCAGATCTTAGAGCCATCCAGAGTTTTCTCAGACCTCTGGACACAAGCGCCTGCAGCGTGATGGAGGGTCACCGCTTAGTTGGTCCCTTCCAACTCAAATGATTCTGTGATTCTTTGGCTCTCTGTAAGGGTCAGTGCTCTAATCACACAGGGCTGCAGCCTGATGGAAGGGGCAGAGCTCTCCATATCCTTGGCTGAAGCTGTGATCCAGCAGCGGCTGCGAGTACCGGGGACAGGAGGGGGCTTGGGGTGCTCTGAGCACAGCCGTGCTTCTGCTGTGGGATAAGTGGGTGAGCTGGAGCTGGAGAACATCATGGGATGATCAGGAATTAAGATGTAAGCGGTGGAGATATCACTTCTGGCCACCCACAGAGTCATGTAGCCATGACTCATCGCCTGATGCAGGAAGGAGCGCAGCGTACCACGCATCAGAATGGACAAGATCTTTCCAAGGACAGACGATCCGGGCAGGAAAACCTTTCAAGGTCTCTCATCCCAACTGTTTATTTTCTCACACTGGTATGTCATTTCCTCTGTAAAATTGCAAAGCAATGTGTTAATGTCAACTACTTATTTTTTCTCTCTGACTGGAAGGATCTTCTGGTTTCTAGACTAGATATACTCACGACCGGTTCCTACTCCTTTGCTCTTCTACTGCTGCCCCTCAGTGTCACACCCTTCCCATCTGCTTTCCAGGATGTACTTACATACAGAAAACACACTCCCCCTCCATTCTCACTTTTGCTGAAGCGAACAAGCCAAATTCTTTCAGCCTGCAGGAGAAGGAAAGCACAGATCTCTGCTCAGCACCTGGCTCCTCCCTACACGTATCCAGCCTGACTTCACCCTTCTTGGACACAGCTGGCCACAAATGCACTGAGAAATGCAGAGGCAGTCTCAACAGAATATTATCTCATGTCACATATCACCCAAGCAATTGCTTTTCTCATTTAGCGTGCCAATTCTATAATTCCCAACTGCTGCCTTCTCCCACCCGTATGTCTCATCACACAATTTTGGGCTGTTTTTGTATCAAAACAGATGAGTCTTCCGTCGCCTTATTGGTTCACAAAGTGCAACGTGCACCTACACTTCTACTTAAATATGGCTAAATAGTTTAATTACTTTTGTGCTGTCTTTGTTTTGTTTTGAAATCGTATGTAGCAAATTTGCTAGATGGAAAAGTTCGCAGAGATGAGGAATGCTCCCATTTATATCTCACTGCACTGCAAAGCAAAAGTTTAAGCAAAACACATGCGCTCATCACTCAGGAACACAGGGCAGACAGTCCTTATTTCTCAGTGCAGCATGAAAGAGAAGAGTGATTTTAGGTAATATATACTTATCATCCCCTCGAAAATCACTTGGAAAGGCCAAATACACCCTTTTCACACAGCTTATTTAGTATATGCAAGCCCTCTTCCCCAAATTGTTATTTTTTTCACTGCTGGAAAAAGTATTTTTATCCGCACTAGTGCACTTTTCCACCTTCTCATTGTTTTATTTCGCCAGTTCTCGAGCCCTGAACCCATCTGCCCTGATATTTTGCCACAATAATAAAAAAGAAATCAAACACAGAGAGGCAGAAGCGAGAGCCCACAGGAGAGCAGCAGGGCTGGAGCAGGAGGATGCTCTGATTGAATGGGAAAAATAAAACAGAAGAGATGATAACCTACAGAGGACAGCACAAGACAGCGAAGAATGTGGATGAGAACAGTGAGCAAATGTAAATGGGTAGAAAGGAAACCAAGGCAGGAAGGACAGGGAGTTGGCCTCCCCAGCAGGTCCCTGTCCAAAGCTTGGGCCTGGGAAGCAGCTCAGGTCCAGACAACCCCAAATCCTTTGTGGGGCCACCAAGAAGATCTGGCCAGTCTGCCTGGGCCTCTAAGAACGGGGTGGGCTAGCTAAGTGTCCCCAAAGAGGGAGCTAGCAAATGTGGGGAAGGAAGATGGAAGGATCCATGTGGTTACGAGGAGAGGGTCAGGAGGACGATGTGGAGAAGGACTTGGGGGTCCTGGTGGAAAAGAAATTGGACGGTGAGTGTGTGCTTGCAGCCCAGAAGGCCAACAGCATCCTAGGCTGCATCAGCAGAGGGGTGGCAGAGGGATGAGGAGGGGATTGTCACACTCTGCTCTCCTGAGGTCCCATCTGCAGTACTGTGTCCAGGCCTGGGGCTGCAGTACAGGAAAGATGTGAGGCTGTTGGAGCAGGGCTGATGAGGGCCACAAGGATGCTCAGAGGACGAAGAAAGGCTGAGGGAGCCGGGCTCCGAGGAGACCTGACTGCGGCTTCCAGTATTTGAAGGCAGCTTATGAGCTGGAGAGGATTTTTGCACAGACTGGTGGTAGGAGAAGGAAGAATGACTTTAAACTAAAAGAGAGGAGATCTAGGTTCGATGTTAGGATGAAAATCTGTGCCCAGAGAACGGTGACGCCCTGGCACTGCTGCCCAGAGCTGCGGGCGCCCCATCCCTGCAGGTGCACAAGGCCACGGATGGGCGTTGAGCAACCTGAGCTGGTGGAGGCACGCAGCCCACGGCAGGGGTTGGGGCTGGACGGACTTTAAGATCCCTTCCAACCCAACCATTCCGTGACTCTGTGGCAATGCACCGGGAGGTCCGGGCGAACGGCGGGGCCGGGCGAGCTCAGCCCGACGAAGGGACGGCCGAACCGTGCGCAGGGCCCAGCCGCAAGGCCCACGGCGCACTCTGCCCCCCCGGCCGCCCGGCCCACGGCGCTGCCCCGCTCGGTCGCTAGGCGGCCCGGCCCGCGCTGCGCGGCCTGGGAAGCGCCGCCCCCGGAAGCGGCGGGCGGGCGGCGGGCGGGCAGGCAGCAGGCGGGCGGGCGGCGGGTGGGGGGACGCCGGGAGCGGGGACGGGGGGGGCAGAGCGAGCGAGCGCGCCCGGCGAAGGGGCCGGAGACGCGGCGGCGGCGGCAAGATGGCGGCCAAGTCGGATGGCGGCGGCGGCGTGGGCTTCGCCCAGCTGCACAACCTGGACGAGGCGGCGGCGGCGGCGGCGGCGGCGGGCGTCTGCGGCGGCGTCGGGGCAGCGGCGGCGGAGGGCGCGGAGGAGCCGGGCGGCAGCAGCTCCTTGCACATCTGCCACTGCTGCAACACGTCGTCGTGCTACTGGGGCTGCCGGAGCGCCTGCCTGCGGAACCTCTTCGGGAGGGCGGCCGCCGCCGCCGCCGCCGAGCCGCTGGCCCCGCGCCCCGCCGACGAGGGAGCGCCGCGGGCGCCGGAGGTCGCAGGGGCGGGCGAGCGGCCGTGGCTGGACTGCCTGTGGATCGTGCTGGCGCTGCTGGTGCTGCTGGGGGACGTGGGCACGGACCTGTGGCTGGCGCTGCACCACTACGGGCGGCGGGACTACGTCTGGTGCGGCCTGACGCTGGCCTTCGTGCTGCTGCCCTCGGTGCTGGTGCAGATCCTCAGCTTCCGCTGGTTCGTGCAGGACTACACGGGCGGAGGGCTGGGCGCCGTGCAGGGCCTCAGCAGCCGCGGGCCGCCCATGATGGGGGCCGCCGGGCGCCGGGGGGGACCCGGCGGGGTAGGAGGAGCCGCCGGCACCGCCACCCCCGGGGCGCAGCGCCTCTGCAGGATCTCCGTCTGGGTCTGGCAGTCCGTCATCCACCTGCTGCAGATGGGACAGGTCTGGAGGTAAGGGCGGGGGTCCGCGGTGCGGTGGGGATGGGGGATCGCTGCCGCCGCGTGGCTCGGCGTGGACGCGGAGGAACGGGGCTCGGCGGTCGGTGCGGACGTGAGCTGATGGGTTCGCTGTCAGCTCGTGGGCCGGAGCGGACGTGGGTCGGCGTGTCTTTGCTGAGAGTCGCTGCCGCCTCGTGGTGCGGCGGGGACGTGGGGCAGCGAATGGTGACGGAATCGGGGTCGCCGCCGCCTCGTGGTCCGAGGTGCGGGGTTCAGCATCGCCTTACGTCCAACGGGGATGTGGGGTGGTGGGTTGAGTGCCTCCTCGTGGTCCCGCACGGACGTGGGGGAGTGAGATTTGGTGTCACGTCGTGTCCAGAGGAGTAATGAGTTTACTCCAGCATGAACCTCGGTCGCTTTCACTTTGCCGAGGTGGAAGAATGAGGATCGCTGTCACCTCGTGGTCCAGCCTGGAAGTGGGTTGCTGTCCCTCGGCTGGAATGAGGGTCGCTGCCCACACGTTGCCCATGATGGAGGTGTGTCCTCTCAGCGTGGGGACACCCGTTGTCCATTGGGTGTAATAGGGTGCGTGAGGGTTGCTGTCACCTCGTGGTTTGAGGTGGGTCAAGGTTCTCTGGTTGAGGTGGGGCTGAAGGGGTTGCTGTCTCTTGGTGGTTCAAGGTGGATGTGGTCACTGTCACCTCATGGTCTGAGGTTGACGTGGGTCATTGTCACCTCATGGTTTAGAAGTGGTCAGTGCACCCCACGTGGAAATGGAGGGGAGATTTGGGGCTCCTTCCCCTTAGCTTGAAGAGAGCCTCAAAGGGAGGAGTGTTGCCCCTAGAGTGGTCTGTGAGGCTGAGGTGAGGGAAATGGGGGTCACTGCCACCTTTTGGCCTGTGGGCACACAGGTTGGTGGACGTGAGTCAGTGCTCCCCAAGCTGGAGGAGATGTGGTGGCCCTCCTTGTGCTGCCTAAAGGGAGAGAAATTCCCACAAAATATGCCCGTGGGAGACTGAAGTTTACTGTCCATTCATGGTCTGAGCTGGACTTGAGTCATTGCCTCCCACATATAGAAGTAGGAGAGATTTGGGGTCATCCCTACTGGGCTGAGTTGAGGTTCCCCCAGGGAAGTGTGTGGGCCTGAGGAGGCCATGGGGGTCACTGTCACCTCCTGGTCCTCACTGAACTCTCCCCACATAAAAGCAGGGGGAGATGAGGAGCGCACAGTACTGAGGGGAGAGAAATTGCTCCAAAAGTCAGTGTGTGGGGCTATGGGGAGAGAGAATGTGGAGGGGCTGCTGTCACCTTATGGTGTCTGGGGGGACGTGACTTTGTGCCCCCCACAAGCATAGGGGGTGAAAGGGGTGCCTCGAGGATGGGCTCTTGCTGCCCCACAGGGTTGGGGCAGGACCAAGGGGTGAATTTGGGGCTGCTCATCCCTGCAGGTGCTCTGAGAAGTGATGCTAACCCCCCCCAGAGGTGACAGTGTGGACATAGGCCCAGAGCTGGGGGTGACCCCCATGCTGGCATCACTGCAGAGCGAGGCCCTGCAGCCATGGGCAGGGCTGGCCCCAAGAGCTGGGGGGCAGCAAGAAAGCAGCCCCATGGAAGGAGGGAGCTGTTCCAGAGAGGCAGGGGGGCAGGTGGGGGGCAGTCCTCTGGCTGTGGGGTCTGCTGTTTCCAAAGGGATTGTTGTCAACCTGCTGTAGGTGAGGGAGGGAGAGAGGGCTGTATCTGTCCCCCGTGGTGGTGGGGAAGGAAGCAGTGGGGAAAGGGGGATGGATTTCGGGTTGTCAGTGTGAGACTGAAGGTCAGAGTCAGAGACCAATGCCCTGGAGCAGCTCTTGAGGACAGGGCCTGGAGTGATCAGGGGATGGGGCCAGGGAATGTCCCTGGGATCAATGGGAATAAAAGAGTGAGCAAGGAGCTGTCATCCCCCAAAAGAGATGGAAGAGGGAGGCAGGGAGGGATTCTCTGGGATGAAAGCCTGTAAGATACAAACGTTTCCAGAGAGGCAGCATTTTTACGGAAAGAGGTGTTGTAAGGACAACTGTAAAGACCTGGCGTGGCCCTGCGTCCTCTAAGATCACTCTGGAGGGGATATGGGTTAATAAGATGGAAGGAGAAGGAGGTATGGGTGATGGAGGCTGGAGTGAAGGCTCCAAATGGTGGCATTGGGTCCTGCATGCACCCCCCATACATATGGGGAGAGGGTCTCTGGGGCTGGTTGGACTTGAGCGCTCTTAAAATTATTGATAGGCAGAAGGTGCTGGATTTTTTGAAGGAGGGGAAAATGGCTCTAAATGGTGAAGCTGGGAGGGTGCATATCCCTGCATCGGCATTTCCAATGTGAATCCATGGGGCCAAAATAACCTGATTGATGGATGGATGGATGGTAGGAATTTTTCACTGGGATATGGATGAGAAGGAAAGGAAGAAGGTGATGATTGATGAGGAAGTCGTTATTTATTTATTTTTTTAAATTTTTGATTTTTTTTTTTTTTTTTGGCCATCTGGATAGCAGAAGGGGTTAACCCTGCTGCCTAATGAAATCGGTGGAGAAGTGGCTGGAGTTAAGATGGAGACAGCGTGCTGGAGCCTGGGGGAGGGCTGTGTGGGTGGAGGCAGGGGAGGGCCTTGACACCTCTTCTGAGGACACCGCTCTTGAGATAAAATGAATATACACATCAAAGATTTTGTATTATTTCTTTCTGAGGGGGTGGAGGGACGGGGAGCTGCGTGGGAAGGTTGCGTGAAATGTATACCTGGGAAAGGAGCCCATGGCACCGCGCAGCGCAACAGCACGTACATATATTTCCTCTGCACCTTCAATGTCATTTGTGTAATGTTCTGACCACGCTGGTGCTCAGCTCCTGTTGGGGGTGGATTTTGTTTCCTTATGGCCGAGATGTGGACCTGGGGATGCTGGAGGGGTGGGTGTGCTGTGATGCCTATGAGGGAAATAAATCAGGATGCGACCCTTTCTCTGCTTTTCCTGATGCTGATCCCATCAGCAAAAGCGTTTCTTGATGCAGATGCTTCTCTTGCAAGTTGGGTTTCTCCTCTCTCAGAGCCAGGAGAAATAAATGGCTGTTAGCGTGGTGCAAGCCTGCATGGGCACAGACAGCCCTGGCACGCTCCGGTGAGCAGCGGGGAGGGGGATGCTGGAGCCTTGCAGAGGTGACGCCTGTGGAAGGTGATGTGTATGGAGGGGTGATTTATTTTGTCACGTGAAGACTGAGGCTCAAGTAACCCAGAATTTCTCTTGCTTTGTTACTGCAGAGAAAAAATTCTTGGCTTGTGAGACAGTGCAGTGCTGGGGCTGCTGAGAGGGACTGGGAAGGAGCTCTGCAGCCCAAATCGCGTTAGGCGCAATGAGGGAGCGTGCTCTCCTGTTGATCACCCATCTTGCCAGCATGCGACTCCTGCTTTGTAGGGTACACCGGCGGCGTAAAGCTGCCTCCCAGTATCTGACCAGAACAAGAATAACTTCATGCTGTCTGTAGGCTAGCCTCCACCAAGGCATCTTTTTCCATTCCCACTATAGCGATTGCAAACGCCGTTAAAATTAATCTTGAATGCGGTGATGGGACTAATAGTGGAAAGCGCTGTTTTAGCAGTGTTTGCCTGCAGCTAAATCGCTCTGTGCTGGTAAGAAGTTGATACGTGGGGACGGAGGAGGAAGACCTAGAACAATGTAAGTTCAGTGCATAATGCATCCAGCCTGGTTTCCTGCATGATAATGGATATGCGCTGCGACTGCATGGAGCGTAATCAGGGCTGTACGTTATGGAGAGGCTGTCGTAGCTGTTGCTCAGCAGCTGGAAGCGAAATCGCAGAGAACAGAGGGGGCAGGTTGGAGTTGTACAGCAATCCTGTTCCTGAATTGCCGAGGGCTTGCTTCTTGGTAGACATTAGGTAATCTGGGTTTTACTTGCGGGGATAACAAGGTTCCTGCAGGGACTTTTCCTGGATGTTGGAAATGCTCACCAGTGAGATGGATAAATCACATTCTTATGGGAGGGACTCAAACGTGTGTCAGGCTCTTTTTTTAGTGAGGTTGTTTGTCAGTCTTTCGTGGTGGTGGACATGTAGTTAACTGTGTCTATATAATAAAGGAGCATGGGGGCTTTGTCTTCTATTCGTGTCCCGATTCCCCTATTAGAAGTGTGAGAGGTAACCAGGGGGTTACTGTGGGGGATTGAGTGATGTTTGGAGTTTGTTGCATTTGTCTTTTGCTCAGCTGAGAACTTGGGGCTGTATTCATACTACCTTCCTACGCTGACTGCTGGAAAGAAAGTACATTGTGAAAGTGTACATACAAACATATTTATATAGAGATTTTGAATGGATGCTTGAAGCGCTGTGATCTTAAATTACATTCCCGCCGATAACGCTTGGGTACTGGGGGGTTTTACCTTCATACATCTGCAATTTTCACCTTTCATCTCAATCCCTTAGACTATCTCAAAGACTAGAACAGTTCAGCAGACTGCTGCAGAAGTGAAGGATGCCAGCTGGGCACACAACACTGGCTGTTGTGCTCCTGCCCTGTGAGCTGCAGAAGGGAGGCTTCTTGAGGAGCAGCAGTGCAGTGCTGTGGTTTTGCTGGAAATAGGCTGAAGGTTGGTGAGTCCTTTCAGCCTGCCAGGGCTCTTGCTTTCACTGAAACCATTCATCTCTGTAAATTCAGGTAAAATAGTTTTGACTTGGAGTTTTCATGTCTTGAGTAGTTGTAGAAGGTTGGTTTGTGACGACTGGGAGTGTAACTTCTGCATCTGTTGTACTTCTCCGTACCCTCTGTAATAAATGGGTCAGTGGGTCGTGGTTGCTGTCCTGGAGTACAAGGTTTGAAGTCTGACCTTTTGCAGTGCAAGGTGCTATTAAAGAAAACATTATTGAATTCCATTGGATTGTCAGAATGTGGAGTTGGAGCTAAAATGAACACTGATCAGCTGAAAATCTCACTGTCTGGTGACTGTCAGTAATGATAAGATGCGTGACTTCAG